TCTGTATATCATTTATCCTCATATCCTCTGTGGTACACTATAGAACATATAGATAATGGTGGCGGCGTGTCATGACTTTTTTTTCTTGTTCCTTGACTAACGGCGAATCTTCATCACATGCTTCAGTCAGACACCTTCTCCTGAGGCTGGTCTCCGTTCAGATGCCTTGGAAACGCGTGGTAAACGCCTCCATGGAGGAACAGCTTGATGGTTTTTCCATACCCGGCGCAAGGCCGATCTTTGAACTGGAAGCGCCGTTCCTCTGGGATGACGTTGATGCTGCGCTGTGCAGCAGCCCAGCCAAACATGAGGTCATGTTTAACGGCCCTTGTAGCTCGGCAGAAAAACATTGTTTTAGAGCAGAGGGCTCCGATTTCACAGTCGGCATCAAAGGCAGCAGGAAAAGGTGGAAATGAGAACTCCTGCTGTTTGCTTTCTCCTTTTCTAAGACGCTAATGGTCATTTGTTTTGGTGATGTGTGTAGAAATCCCTCTCTGAAAGTTTTATGGAGGTGTTTGGTTTAATTAAAGCAGATCTGATTGGGTTTGGGGTGGATGTGGAGAACCCCCCGCTGTCTGCCAGGCAGCTAGATTTATCTTTAGGAAACTCAAACCCAGGGAGAGGAAAGAAAAGTGGTTTCCCTCCCAGATGAGCTGAATTTACAAATAATTCAGAAAGTCTTTAACACATAGCAGAAATGTTAGTCTGTATTTTCCTCTCTGACGAATCAGAGCAGATCTACGTCGTCTCCAGGCAGACCAAGGCTCACGGCGTTTGCAACAACTTGTTGAAAATAAAACCCATCTGGATAAAAATGGACCTTTGAAAAGCCACGCCCCCCTCCAACCTTCTCAGAGTGGCCTGGTGTGGGACCGCATGTTATGCGTTATCTGCAAGCTTAAAAAGAAATCTCGATTAAGCACCGCTTCTAAAGCCGGGCGTACTGTGTGCGATGTTTTCAATCGTTGCACGCAGCTACAGCTCAAACTGTACAATGAAACCGCAGGGTTTAAAAGTTTAAAGCTCACGATATTTGTTCTCACACTGCGTGGCCCGACGCTGTAATGCAATCAACCACTCGTCGGACTCAGTGCTGACAGTTGCCGCTAGTCGGTGTTCGTCAATCTGGAAGAAGAAGAAGAACTCCCTTGTTTGCACATGGGCAGTGCTCGAGCTTCTGGTAAATCGGCACGTAGCTCTGCTTGAACAGCAGGATTCGCTCACGAAAACCTTACGACTGCCAACTTAATTTAAAACCTTTTTGGTTTCCTCCCGCCCTTATGATTCCTGATGGCGAGGTGGTTGTAAGAGGCTAATCGCCCCTCGTTACCCGCTGTATACTACACGACGCACGAGGAAACTGAAAGTTGGCCCAATTGAAAAATTCTCGCTCGACTGGAGAATTGGCCTGAAAAGGGCAAAAAAAAATCGTACAAAGTATGCCCGGCTTAACACCTTAATTCTTCTGGAAGATTTAGATTTTTTTGTTCGGCTGATCTGAAGAAGAAGCTGCTGAATACCAACGAAGAAGAATCCTTAGCAGTAGCGGGGCCATCTAATTCTATCGAAGGTCAGGCTTAATGAAAGAATCGACCAGTTAGCAACGTGCTACGTTAGCAATAGGATGTTGTCCTAGCAACTTTAGCTTTGTTCACAATCACCAGATTTCATTATCAGAATAAAATGTGTTAAAAAAGACGAAATAATCACATTTTACTGTCTATGGAACGTTAGTAGCTGGAATAAAATGGCCGATCGACCTAATTATTGTTAGGTTGTGTCCAGGCAGAGGAAGCCTAACAGCGCTCTGCGCCAGAGAATGACATCATCCACCATATGGTGTAAGCAGGGGAGGATTTACCATTAGGCAATACCAGGAAGTTGCCTAGGACCCCAAGTTCCTGGGGGCCCCATAAAACTCTGTTGACATGTTTGGTTAATACATCTATTCCTTATTTCTGCACATTAATTATGTTTTTGATAAAAATCCTTTTGCTAAAATGCCATCAGAAGGCTGATAATCAGTGTGTCTCAGCTCTCTTGTTCCCTCCCAGTCCTTAGAAACTTCTCCCCCATAGAGGATTTTTATCATTTAATTGTTATTGAATCGAAAATCAAGGAAAAGTCTGTTATTTTTCAGATCAACATGTTGGACACTTCTCTCCTGTTTGGCTTCTTATGAACCGCTGCCTAAAATTCAATTATTCTAAATTAGTGGATGTTTTTTTAAAATAAGATAAAGAATTACT